GGCTGCAAACGCGCGGCGGCGCGGAGGCGCGGGGCGCGCCTGGAAGATCGGGTTGGCGAGATCGGGCCGCGCGCAGGGGAGTCTCTCTCCCTCCCTCGCACGTTCCCCGCTCCAGTCCTACCTGTCCTCCTCCCTTTCATGCTCCTGATGCTCCTGGGCTAGATTTGCCAGGAGTTGGGCCAGGGGGAAAAATGGGGCGAAGCTGCACCCTGGGCTACTTGGGGTGCTTTTCTTGACACATCTCATCCCATGCATACTCGTATTCACGCTTCTGGGCGTACGACGGAGGCGGAGGCGGAGGGGCAGGCGGAGGCGGCGGAGGAGGAAGAGGAGGAGGAGGAGGAGGAGGAGGCGGAGGAGAGGAGGAGGCGGAGGAGGCGGAGGCGGAGGAGGAGGAGGAGGAGGAGGAGGAGGAGGAGGAGGAGGAGGAGGAGGAGGAGGAAAAAGGGCAGCGTCAGGATGACACACTTGCTACTGGATCCCAGCTCCCAGGTGTAGGAGGTGGACGAGAAACAGGTGGGAGCGGAAGAGCAGGAAGAGCGAAAACAGCAGGATGAGCAGGAGGAGCAGCGGGAGCAGCAGGAGGACGAGGAGGAAGAGGAAGAGGAACTGGAGGGGGGAGCACGAGGATGATGAGGGGGACGACGACGATCTTCGCTTAAGATCCATCCCTGGACCCCTTCTAGAAGCCACCCTGGCAAGTGTGTCAGGCTGGGTTCGGCCGTGCCCGCGAGGCCCCCCCAGGAGGCCCCTCCAGGAGGCCCGTCGGCGACGGCGGCCACGACGGCGGCGACCACTGCGGCGGCGACGACGGCGCCGACGGCTGGCGAGGAGGACGAGGACGGCGGCGGCGACGGTCACGGCGGCGGCGACTAGGACGACCTCAGCGACAGCGCTGACGGCGACGACGGCAACGGCGGCGGGCGGCAACGGCGGCGGCGGCGGCAAGGACGTTCGCCGCGGCGGCCAGCGGCGGCGGCGGTGGGTAGGCGCCGAGCGCTGCTCGCCGGGGCCCTCGCCGTGGGCCTCGGCGCGGCCTGCTGCTTCAGCGCACCCGCGCCGCCGGAGCGGCGGCCGCCCAGCCGCGGGGCCGCAGGCCCTCGCGGCGTCGCCGCCGCCGCTGCCGCTGCCGTCCCAGAGCCCCTCGAATCATGGAACAAAATCACGACGTGAGCCTCCTCCTCTTCTTCCTCACCCTCATCCTCATCCTCATCCTCCTTCCTCATCCGCAGGTTCTGCGCGTTTGCCTTCGTCGCGAGGCAGTCGCCTCAAGGTCACATCCGGGCGGCAAGGCTGGCGATCTTGCACACGCAATTCTCCCTGGTTCTCGCACCTCGTTTCCTGTGGGCGCTGCCTGGCGGCGACGCCAATTTGCGTGCATCAGCTGAGGCTGCACGCCTGCCCCCGTCGCGAGGCGGACGCCTCAAGGACGTTGCCCAGCGGCAAGGCCGGCGGTCCTGCACCCTTTCACGTCGGACCGTTACCAAGGTTCGTCCTCTTTGAGACGCTGGCTGGCGGCAGTGCGAGCCATCGTGCGCCCGCAGACTATGCACGTCAACCCCCGTCGCGAGGCTGTTGCCTCAAGGACGTTGCCCGGCGGCAAGGCTGGTGGTCCTGCGCATTTGTAATTAACGTGGCGCCGATTAACAAGATCACGAGCTGTTTTCATTTGATTCGTGTCGGAAGTTTTCAACCTCCGGGACATAGCCCGGCGGCAATGCCGGCGGTTTTGCGCGCGAGCTCCACCTACGAGGCCAGCGCCTACTGGACAGACTGGCGGAATTGCCAAGGGGGTCTTGTCTTCATTCGCTTCGTTGGGGATTATGTTAACCGACGGCCCTGGATAATGAAGTATACCCCTCTGTTTCACTGAGTGTGAGTTCGAGCGTGTCGCTGGGGCGGCGTTTTGCCAAGCGTGTCGCTGGGGCGGCGTTTTGCCAAGCGTGTCGCTGGGGCGGCGTATACATAAGGACATTTTTTTATTCCTAGGGGCTTACTATCAGGGGCACCGCGTTATCTGGGACACAGCTCGGCGGCAACGCCTGCAGTCCTGCGCACCTACGTGGCAAGCGCTTTCTGGGCACAGCCTGGCGGAAAAGCCGGTGTTCTCGCTCACTTTCGACAAGTCGGAATCATGGCCTCCGGGACACAACCCGGCGGCAATGCCCGCGGTCCCGCACACCTACCCCACCCATGCAGTGCACGAGGCATGCGTCTCTTGGACACAGCCTGTTGTTTTCATTCGATTCGTCTGAATTTTTACCCTCCGGGACACAGACCAGCGGCAATGCCGGCGGTCTTGCACACGTACCCCACGCACGAGGCATGCGTCTCTCGGGCAAAGCCTGTTGTGTCCATCCCATTCGTCGGAGGTTAAAACCTCTGGGACACAACCCGGCGGCGATGCCGGCGGTCTTGCACAATGTAGAATGACGATTAATACATGAACGGGGTTCGTGTTGCGTCGATGGCGCCCTGGAGGATGTTAAAAAAAAACCGGCTGCGGGCTGGGAAACCATTTTTCTAATCGTTCCCCCCTGCCGTCCACGGGCGCGCGCCCGGACGGCCGACGGGCCAGACAGAACCGAAGCGGAGGGTTCGGAGGGAGGGTGTCAAGGAGAAAGGAGCGAGGGGGTAACATTTGAATCCGACGTCAAATGAGCATTCTACATAATGTTTGAAGCCGACGTGGAACGAGTATTTGACGTAAAAAAATGAAGCCGACGTAGCAGTGGTATTTGACGTAAAGTTTGAAGTCGGCGTCGAATTATCATTAACGTAGAATTTGACGACGACGTGAAATGAGTATTCGACTAACTCGTCATCCTCCCGTTGCAAACGTCATTTAGGAATCGAGCAGCAGCTATGTTCTGTTTCAATCGTTCCTCCGATTCTTAATATACCGTCATCCTGCACTGCGTACCCCACTCACGAGGCAGGCGCCTCTCCGACACAGCTGGCTGTTGTCACTCGACTCGTCGGCGGTGTCAACCTCCGGGGCATAGCCCAGCGGCAGTGCCGGCGGTCCTGCACGCGTGCCCCACCCACGAGACAAACGCTCACGGACACAGACTGGCGGTACTGCCAAAGATCTGGTCTCAAGAACATCAGCGCTAAACTGCAATCGTCTTACTCTCGTCCTTACAGCTTACAGCTGGTGGCTGGGGTGTCAAGCTGACGCAGCCATCTCCCACCCCATGGTCGGTCGACCCTGGGGGGAGTGGTTATACGAATGATTATACTGTATCCCTGGGTGGGCACACTCACCCCACCTACGCGGCAATCCCCTGGGAGTCCCGCGTCCCATCGCCGACGCGGATGGCGCGCAGGTTCCGACACCAGAAGCAGCTCCTACTTTTCAGTGCATGTGGCGTGCGTGCCAGGGAGGGACTCTAACCGAAGGGGTACAGCAGAATATCACAGGGGCACTTTACGGCCGAGCGCACGCAGTATCCAGATCCATGGGGGAGGGAATCTATGCACAGGGTGTTCTGCATCGTTCGCATCACGCGCATCGCTTAGGGATGATATGGCCTTCGATGCTTCTCAATCCTGCGTGGCATAGGCTATGCGCGGCTTTGAGTCCAGATCATGTTGAGGAGTTGCGTCTCCGAGACAGTGAAGACCGCTCAGCGCAACAACGGGCAGGCTCAGGCAGGTGGAGGACGGTATTCCCGTCAAGGGTCGGGTGTCTTCAGGCCGGGCTGCACCCAGCAGCCATCTCAGCACAACAATTTGTATTGATCAGGAGGCCATGGAATTTGTACAGCAATCAAGTCATTTCAGATAAGCGAGGTTCCTGCGTAGTCTGACGCCTCACGAGTAGCAGTGGCAAGCCGAGTTCGAACATGTCGGGAGCATGACTGGGAGGGTGTAGCAGCATCTTCTGTGCCGTACAAACCGCATCGCGAGGAAAACCTTGATTTGAATATATTCTCGGGCGCTCGCCGAGAAGGATCTGCACAGACGACGTGGGCAGGGAGACCACGCCCCTGTCCCCTTTCTCCACAAGGGGGGGCCGTCAGGGGGTGGGTCACGACCCCTGGTGCGCCCCCCCCCCCCGGGACCTCCAGGACGACCTCCCGGGATCCCCCCCCTCCGCGGGGGGAATGGACAAACGGAAGGGGCTTCCCTTCGACGTGATTGCGACATCGTCATTGTTCGATCCCCCTTGTTTGTTCGATCTCCCTTACGACGACGACGATTCAAAGGAGGCTGCCGTACTTCAGTGTGGGTATGGCTGGCTTCGCGTCGATCAGGTTTTTCACACACGACGATTTGGTCAGCGGACGAACGTTCACATGCAACGAAGTTGGTGTATGTTTGACCCTCCCCCCACCATTCTTCCTCCTCTTTCTTTTCTTTTGTTGCCCCCGACCCTTTTGTCTCGCCGCCTTCCTTCCGCTCCTGCACCCTCCTCCCTCGGGCCGCCTCCCCCGTCCCATGCCCCCCCTCCTGGTAGTCTGTGCAGCCGTTGAGTATGCGTCGCTGTTCGGCGACTGTCGCTGATTTACCCCCCCCCCTCTCCTCCTCCTCCGCCTCCTCCTCCGCCTCCTCCTCCTCCTCCTCCTCCGCCTCCTCCGCCTCCTCCGCCTCGCCCTCCCGCCGAGCGGCGATCGGAAGACGGGGCTGCGGAGCGCAGGGGCAGGAGCGGTCGGGCGCCCGGCGGCGCCGCAGGTGGCGCCGGCGCGGAGGTGTACGAGGGGGTCGTGAAGTCCTTCAGCAGCGAGAACGGCTTCGGCTTCATCTCGTGCGACGGCGTGGGCCGCTCGGCAGCCAGCGGGGGAGGAGGAGGAGGAGGAGGAGGAGGAGGAGGAGGAGGAGGAGGAGGAGGAGGAGGAGGAGGAGGAGGAGGAGGAGGAGGATTGGGGATGGACGAGGATCAGGAGGAAACGGATCGAACAGGATCGATGGGGGGAATGGAACAGGAGGGGGCCGGAGAAGGCGGGGGACTACGATGATGATGTTGATTTTGGTGGTGCTGCTGATGGTGACGATGGGTGGTAGGGGTGATGGTGGGTCGGAAAAGGAGTGCCCTCGACCCTCTGCCCAGCCCTCCCTCCCTCCCCGTCTTACTGCTTCGTTCTCTGCAGAATCCACCCCCGACCCCAGACTTGTCACAGGGTGGCGCTCGCGACGAGTCCGACGGGAACCTGGTTGTGGGCCCCGCAGGAGGTCCAAGTAATGAGAGGCAAATGTCGAAGTCCTACTCACTGCTCACGCTCGTTCCCTCCCCTTCCCCCCTCCTCCGGCTTCCCCACCGCGCGCGCTCCCGCTTGCGTGGCGGGGGGGGACGGGGGGGACAGAATCATGCTGATGATGGTGATGCTGCGGTCGTCGTTGTTGCTGCTGTTGTTGTTGTTGTTGTTGTTGTTGTTGTTGTTGGTGTTGTTGTTGTTGGTGTTGTTAATGTCGCTGTTGTTGCTGCTGTGGTTGCTGCTGTGGTTGTTGCTGTTGTTGTTGCTGCTGTGGTTGTTGCTGTTGCTGTTGTTGTTGTTGTTGTTGTAATTGTTGTTGGTGTTGTTTTAAATATTATTGTTGAACATTATTACTTCTAAAGAATAATTATTGTTGGGACCCCTGGTGCACGACCCCCTCGCCGCGCCTAGGCCGCAGCCATGTTTTCATCATTTTCGTGAGGAAGTCTCTGGCAAAACGGGTTGGTCCGGATCCGGTTGTTTTGTTACGGGCGGTTTTCCCTTGCAAAAAATAAGGCAAAGTGGACATTTCTTGTTCTAACATAACCAAACTTCAAGAATCCCTTGCACAAAATAAGGTAAAGTGGACATTCGCGCGCGCAAGACGAAATCCTTCCAAAACCTTAGTGTTCGTAACGATTTTAACATAAAAACATCAAAAACCAATGGTTTTTCAAAAAAAAGTTGTCAAAATTCATCCCGCGCGCTCTTGCGGATTCGTAGGAAACCCAACACTTTTTAAACATTTCTGTCAAACGGGCTTTTGCGAGCAACTTTTTCACGTGCTTCGAACTTCTCCAACAACGGTTGCGCACCTGCCAGGGCCATCATCCCTGTCAAATAATACCATGCGGGACACATTCGTTTTTTCTTCGCGCGCGCACGCCGAAATCTTCAAAAACCATTGGGTTTCTTAAGAATTTTAGCACCGCGCATTATAAAATCACACGAATCGCACCGTAGGTCATCGAAAAACACCTGCACGAATTTTCAAAATTTCTACCCGCGCGCGCTGTCCGAATCCTAAAAAACCCGCTGGCCCTGAATAGTAGCCAAGGTCGTCCGCATGCCACGAAGTGAAGTGTCCGAACGTCATAGGGCGGGAAGCTGGGTGTGGGTGGTCGCGAAGAGTCGTTTGGAAGCTTGGTAGAGCTTGAACTGCCCCCCCACAAAGTGGGGGTATTGGCCGGCGTCCCATGAAAACCCTGGCACTGGTGAGAACGGTGTGTCCCCACGTGCTAGTAATTGTTGTTGTTGTTGTTGGTTTCGTTACTGTTCGTGCTGCGGTTGTTACTGTTGTTGTTGCTTTTGTTGTTGTTGTTGTCGCAGTTGCAGTTTTAGTTGTTGTGTTGTTGTTGTCGTCGTTGTCGTTGTTTTTGTAGTTTTTGTTTTTGTTGTTGTTGTTGCTGTTGTTGTTATTGTTGTTGTTCGTGCTGCGGTTGTTACTGTTGTTGCTGCTGTTGTTGTTGTTGTTGTTGTTGCTGTTGTTGTTGTTGTTGTTGTCGCAGTTGCAGTTTTAGTTGTTGTTGTTGTGAACAATTATTGTTGATCTCCCCGCCTGGTGCATAGTGTATTCTTCAATTGAAATGCCCCTCCTTGGGCTCGCACATTTGTCAGTTTATATATAATATCAGTGAGGGTCTTGAGCGTCAAACCTGCGCCCGTGGCCCCCGAGTCACAACAGCAACGGCTCCCGCCGGATTCTTCCCCAGTGTATTGGGAAATCAGGCTTTCGCTTGAGACTTCCCTGTAATTTACTTAGGAATCGTGCTCTCGCTTGAGAATTCCTCGCAATTTATTCGGATGCCGCTTTTCGACACTCATGAAGCGCGCTCTCGCTTTGGACCTCCTCTCGATTTACTTGGGAGTCGCGCTCCCGCTAAATTCTTCCTTGCGATCGAAGCAGGATTCACGCTTCAACGACCCGCCCGCTCGACCCGCCCGCCCTGCCAGCCCGTTAGGGACTGCAGTCGCCGCTCGCTGCTTTTCGCCAGCTTTCGATCAACTTGGTTGCCCGTATTGGTTCCGCGGTTGCCTTCGCTCGTTGCCCTTCGTGGTCCCGTTGCTGCCCTCAGTCTCAGAGGCCCCGTCGATGCCCTTTGCGGCCCCACATTATAGGCCCTTCGTGGCCCCCGCTTACTCGCGCCCGTCGTGGCCCCATATGCATGCCCTTCGTTGCCCCGCTGTCGCCCTTTGTGGCCCCCTCACTGCCTTTCGTAGTCCCGTTGCTACCCTCAGCAGCCGTTGCTGCCCTCTGTGGCCCCGCATTCGATGCCCTACGTGGCCCCCGCTCGCTTGCGCCCTTCTTTGCGCATGCCCTTCGTGGCCCCGCTGTCGCCCTTCGTGGCCCCCTCGCTGCCCTTCGTGGCCCCTTTGCCGCCCTCATTGGCTCCGCTGTCGCCCTTCATGGCCAACTATATATGTATGTCCTTTTTGGCCCCTGGTCGTTCGTGCCCGTCGTGGCCCCATATGCAGGCCCTTCGTAGCCCCGCTGTCGCCCATCGCGGCCACCCCGCTGCCCTTCGTAGCCCCGTTCTTCCCTCAGTGGCCCCGTCCTTGCCTTCTGCGGCCCCTTATACTATGCCCTTGGTGGCCCCCGTGGGAATCGCGCTATCGCTGAAGACTTCTTCGCGATCCATGCAGGACGCACGCTTCAGCAGCCCGCCTGCTTGACCTGACCGCCTGGGTTCGCCTTCCCGGCCCGCCCTTGAGGTTCTACACGCCCGATCTGCCCGCCTGGTTTTGCCAGGTGTTTTCTGCCCCTAGCCCGCCTCCTGCTACTCTATCTCTCATGGCCCATCCTCCTCACTCCCTCTTGTCCCTTCCTTCCATCCGTCCTGTATCCCTGACGGGGTACGATCGAAGACGAAGAGGGTGGGTATCGAGCTTTTGGGATATACGTGGTGCATGGCACGCGAGCAGATCAGAGCGAACAGTCTTAAGTTGATTATTGTTGCTGTTCTTCTAATAGCAGTAGTGGTAGTAGTAGTAGTAGTAGTAGTAGTAGTCGTAGTCGTAGTCGTAGTCGTAGTCGTAGTCGTAGTCGTAGTCGTAGTCGTAGTCGTAGTCGCAGTAGTAGTAGTAGTAGTAGTAGTAGTAGTAGTAGTAGTAGTAGTAGTAGTAGTAGTAGTAGTAGTAGTAGTAGTAGTAGTAGTAGTAGTAGTAGTAGTAGTAGTAGTAGTAGTAGTAGTAGTAGTAGTAGTAGTAGTAGTAGTAGTAGTAGTACTAGTAGTAGTTAGTAGTAGTAGTAGTAGAAGTAGTAGTAGTAGTAGTAGTAGTAGTAGTAGTAGTAGTAGTAGTAGTAGTAGTAGTAGTAGTAGTAGTAGTAGTAGTAGTAGTAGTAGTAGTAGTAGTAGTAGTAGTAGTAGTCGTAGTCGTAGTCGTAGTCGTAGTCGTCGTAGTAGTCGTAAAATTGGTTGGATTACTAGTACTACTAGTATTATTATTATTCTTATTCGTAGTAGTCATAGTGGTAGCCGTAGTAGTCGCAGTAGTACTCGTAGTAGCAGTCGTAGTAGCAGTAGTCGTATTCGTAGGAGTAGTAGTCGTAGTAGTTGTAGTAGTATTTGTAGTAGTAGTAGTAGTAGTAGTAGTAGTAGTAGTAGTAGTAGTCGTAGTAGTAGTCGTAGTAGTTGTAGTAGTAGTAGTAGTAGTAGTCGTAGTTTTTGTAGTAGTAGTAGTAGTAGTAGTAGTAGTAGTAGTAGTAGTACTAGTAGTAGTAGTTGTAGTAGTAGTAGTAGTAGCAGTTGCCGCCTTTGTAGTATCCGTAGTAGTAGGCGTATTCGTATGAGCAGTCGTAGTCGTAGTAGTCGTAATCGCAGTCGTAGTAGTAGTAGTAGTAGTAGTAGTAGTAGTAGTAGTAGTAGTAGCAGTAGTCGTAGTAGTAGTAGTAACAGTAGTAGTAGTAGTAGTAGTAGTAGTAGTAGTAGTAGTAGTAGTAGTCGTAGTAGAAGTAGTAGTAGTAGTAGTAGTAGTAGTAGTAGTAGTAGAAGTAGTAGTCGTAGTAGTAGTAGTAGTAGTAGTAGTAGTAGTAGTAGTAGTAGTAGTGGTAGTCGTAGTAGTGGTAATAGTAGTAGTGGTAATAGTAGTAGTAGTAGTAGTCGTCGTCGTCGTCGTCGTCGTCGTCGTCGTCGTCGTTGTCGTAGTAGTGGTAGTACTAGTATTAGCAATAGTGGATTCTGTGCTTCGCTCTGCTATGCTATGCTATGCTCTGCTATTCTATGCTATGCTGTGCTTTGCTATGCTATGCTGCGCAATGCTATGCAGGGCTAGGCTAGGCTATGCTATGCTATGCTATGCTACACGTTTGCTTTGCCTTCGCTTTTGCCTTCACTTTTGCCTTTGCTTTTGCTTTTGCTTGGCACCCAGGGAGCGCAACTGGGAGAACCGCGCGTTTGCTTTTTCCTTTGATGTTGCTTTTGCTTGGCTCCCAGGGGACCGGGGGAACCGCCCAGGGCGGGTTCAATTGCCCGGCCCCTTTAAGCAAAGAAAGTGAGAGCCCTTCTAGGCAGAGCCTAGGTAGGGAATTAGTATCAATACGAGTAGTCGTAATATTAGTAGTA